CCCCCCCCCCCCCCCCCCCTCTTTTTTTTTGAGTTTCCTTTTTCTTTTTCTTTTTCTTTGTATATATTTTGAGAGCTTCTTTTCTATTTTTCGGTCACTAATTGCATGAGTAGTTAAACGAGTGTAATTGTAATATTCATATCAGACTGTCTTTTATTGAAGTGCTTTGGGTGAATAAGATTACTAACTGAGCAGTGAAAAGCAAGGTTGCGAGTAGTAGTAACTAATAACCCTGCACGTACTAGCTCTTATGCTACCAAGTACCATTGTACTCTGCCAAGGGCACTACCAACTCCCTGTAATACTAGTATTTTTTAGTTGACATTAGTAATCTTTTGGACTAAGAAAATAAAGAGGTTGGACACATGTTGTGCCAATGACACCCTCGATATGTGCAAAAAAATAATAAAGTGTTGGCAACCTAACAAGTCTAGATAAAACAAATATCGCGGTTTAATTTAAGCACAACTTCACGTAAATATCCCAGCGTGGAAAAAGAATTATACTAGCTCCTAATTAGGATACCACTTGCTTTTTTGTCCCTTTACAAGATTTGTTTTCCTTTTTTCCTTTTTGTCATTTTCAGCTGATTGAGCCTTATATATAGTGGCATACCTACATATCCATGCGCAAAAAAAGAAAAGCATTGTTCAACGTACTCTTGAGAAAAGAAATGTCAAGTTCAAACAACAGTGATCGAAAGGAGGAGGAATGCCTACACGAATCTTGGTTGAATCTTCAACATGAAGAACTAATAGAACTTGAACAAGCTGCAGCTCAGGTTAAAAACGGCGTCAAAGATGAACATAAACTCAAACAACTCATTGAAAAGATAATAAACAACTTCCAAGACTACTGTAACAATCGTAGCCGCCTAGCTCAAAAGGACGCATCACCATTCTTTGTACTAACTTTCGACGCGAAATAAAAATTTACATGTAAAAAATTATTAAAATTATAAAAATAGTAAAGATGAACCCATAACTTTAAAAATATAATGAGTTCAATACTAAAGATTTTAAAAGTTGAACCCATAGGGTTTAAATCCTGAATCCGCATCTGCATGCACTCCATTGGAGAACTCAGTCCTATGATCGGTGGCTGCATACCATCTTCTTTTATACGTCTTATTTACGCTCTCAGCGTAATGGAAATTGAGTCTCATCTCACTGAGTTCCTTCAGGGGATCAAAACTGGCGAATTTCACGGGTTAACGACGGCACAAATGACCGTAATCGACAAGCTGCAGACAAAGACGATTCAAGAAGAGAGGAAGCTTTGTTCAAAATTGGCTAGCTTGCAAGAAGACATAGTCGACCAGCCATTAGCCAGCAAGATGATGAAAGATCATGAGAATGCAGATGAAGATTTTGATAAGCATAGCCACAATATGGCAACAGTAATGGAAGAAGCTGATAAGTTGAGGATGAAGACACTGAAGCAAATTGTGAGCATACTTATACCGGCTCAGGCGGTGGAATACTTAGCAGCAGCCAAGAAGATTAGGCTTTCTTTGAAACAATGGGGAAAGAAGAGGGATCACGAGCATAACAACTAATAACTTGGTCTATTAGGTTTTTTCTTTTGCCAACTGATGGGAAAAAAAAAGCATGTTTGGGTGTATGGTTGGATAATTCTAGTTTGATGAATTTGTTTTCTAGGAGTTCTAGTTTTTGAACCAAAAAAAAGGTTTGATGCTTTAATTTGTTTTGTCATGTATAGCAGCCTGCTCTTTGTTTTTTCATGTGTGTTATAAGTCGTGTATTTTAATTAGTTGTGAGGCTATAAAGACTACTACTTTTGTTCATTAAAAATGTCGTGTGAGCTGCTTTGACGTCGTATTTATCAAAGTGTAAGATCAACTGACCATTCACGTTTGGAATGTAATGTATTAAGTAAAGGATAGCATATAGATTTTCTTAACACACGGCGAAAGATAATAATAATTTTAGACAGATTTTTTCGTGTTTAAAATTTATTTACATGTCAAAGATTGGATCTAAGACGTACCTGGTGAAGAGAGTCTCGTTTCAAAAATTCTTCGATAGTACAAAAATTTTATGCATATCCACATCGAGTCCGATCTTTTTTATCAACTTTTTAATTAATGAAACTCACGAACAAATTGAATGAAAATATTGTGTTAAAATTTTTCTAAAAAACTTCAACTTAAAATAAAAAGAACAAGAATTCTTGTCAAGAATATTTCTTGGTTTTGGGGCATCTTAGAATAACTCACTTAGCCACGATTAATTGGGTGAAGTATATGTATACGGACACCAATCCTTTCCCTTTAGGTTAAAGGAAAAGACCAAGGTCGTTACTCACGTGAAGACCAATTCACTAGTTGGCCTTTTCCATAATTCTTATAATTGGAAATTCGAATCCCATTCCTAATGGTAGCCTTAAAGGTTAATGGTGACGTGTTTTATGACTATGGTAGTCCAATTTATTTTATTGAAAAAGCCATAATAGTTGAAGCGTTGGCAATAAAAAAAGCAATTCAACTGACGGTAAAGTGTGAATTAAAGAATATACATATTTTGTCTGATTCTTTAACAATGGTTCAAATGCTTAATGGAAGCGGAGGTCCTTCATGGGAGATTAATACTGTTTGCGAAGATATTTGGGCGCTTCAGCAACAACTGATTGATGTATTTTTTAAGTATCTTAGTAGAGGGTTTAATACTTGTAGCCATAAGTTAGCTAAATTTTCTTTCTCACTACTTAGTGAAGTCTCTTGGTTTGACAACTTTCCCGTTTGGATTGTCAACGAGGCTTCATCTGGTTTTGTACCATTGACTGTTGGGTTTGGTTAATGCATACTTTGTTGCCCCGAAAAAGAAAAAAGAACCCCATTCCTAATGGGAATTGCGTGATCGTCACGTCCCTTTTTTGGACTTTATACGTGAGTCCAATTCTAAATTGGACTATATATATATATTTCAATCAAGAGATATAATTTAATTTTCAATTTCAAATAAAAAATTTTGATTTGTTCACAATATTAATTATATTCCATGTGCTAGCAAAAAGTATAATAATATTTCACATGGACTAATAACTTTATTTATTTGACTAATTAAATTCTTTAATTCAATTGTCAAATAATAAGTTAATTAATCCTTTAGCAAAGATTAGAATACTCGTTAGTGTGCGACCCATAGGTTCAATATTAAGCCGCTAGTAAATTGATCACATCAATATACTAATCACGGGTGGCGTCTAGCAACACTCCCTAACGACGGATAAAATGAAGTATACAACTTACTCTCAAGAACCAGTAGAAGAATAATGTAGTAATTCCTTTTGTCCTTATAACTTTGGATCACCCTAGGATATGGTTCTACTGTCAAATATAATCGACCATTGAATGACCTAAGAAACTCTTTTCTTCTTTCATTCAATTTCCCTAGCCAAGGTCTTAGTTTGGTCGTTTATAATTCATTTCAACATGGAGCTTAAACTCATTACCAAGAGTTGACAGATTCCATCTTGATCAATCACTAATTCTACAAGCATTTAATCATACCCAATGTCCTTTCAATTATTGTCCTAGGGCCATAAGTGTCTAGTATCAAAGTACAATAAATAACTTGTCAATTACTATGACGATCTCAGATCAAAGGAAACTCTTACATCACATTCTTCAAGAGAATATCCTATTGATAGTTTATGGTAATTCTAACCATTAGGAATTATCTAATGAGTCGGTTCAATAATCATATCTCTATATGCATCATCTATCCATGCGATTTAGTTAATGAGATCAACTAATCTTTATCCCATAAAGACGATCACATAAATATTGATCTAACCGGATTACTAATGTCCAAATTAATAATCCTACGATTAAGAACAATAATTAGATTAAATTATAAGAAACCTCACTCTCATTATCATGATCTCCATCACGATGGTAAGTCTCAAAATTTAATCAAGTATCTTATTAAATAATCAAATAATTAATAATAACTATGATAAAAGAATATCAAATGCCATATATTTTTATATCAAATAATGTTCAAAAAAATATGTTCAAATCATCAAGTATGATATTGGATCTAGGGCATATCTACTATATCCCTAACAATCTCCCACTTGCACTAGAGCCAATCGCTCTTGTACTTCATTCCCAATTTCCACTTGTGCTTGTCAAACTCCTTTGCGCCAAGAGCTTTAGTGAATGGGTCTGTAGCATTTTCTTTTCCATCAACCTTTTGAATCTCGACGTCTCCACGTTCAATGATCTCTCTTATCAAGTGATACCTTCGCAGAACGTGTTTGGATTTTTGGTGTGATCTTGGTTCTTTTGCTTGAGTAATAGCTCCAGTATAGTCACACAACAATGGAACTGCACCTTCTATTGAAGGAACCACACCAAGTTCAGTTAAGAACTTTTTAATCCATACAACTTCACTAGCTGCTATATATTCTGCTTCAGTCACTGAATCAGCTACTGTAGCTTGTTTGGAACTTTTCTAACTAACTGCACCACTATTTAAGATGAATACATAACTAGAAATAGATTTGCTATCATCTCTATCTGAAGAGAAACTTGCATCAGTATAACCTTTAAGTTTCAACTCAGAATCTCCATAAATGAGGAATTGGTCATTAGTCCTTCTTAAGTACTTAAGAATGGTCTCCACCATCTTCCAATGTTCCTCACCAGGATTTGCCTGATATCGGCTAGTCACTCCTAGAGCATAAGCCACATCAAGACGTGTACATGTCATGGTATACATGATAGCTCCCACTGCACTAGCGTATGGGATCCTACTCATGCGTTCTCTCTCTTCAGGTATTTTAGGACAATCCTCCCCACTGAGAGTAATTTCAGTGCCTATTGGTAGATAGCCTCTTTTAGAATTATCCATGTTATACCTCTTTAAGATGGTATCAATGTACAAAGACTGAGAAAGCCCAAGCAGCTTCCTCGATCTATCTCTATAGATCTTTATTCCCAATATATAAGCTGTTTCTCCCAAATCTTTCATAGTGAACTGTTCAGATATCCAAATTTTGGTACTTTGCAGTGTCGGTATATCATTCCCTATGAGAAATATATCATCAACATACAATACTAATAATATAATTGTGCTCCCACTAACCTTTTTGTGCACACAATGTTCTTCTTCGCATCTAACAAAATTGAACTTTTCAATTGTCTTGTTAAAGCGAATATTCCAACTTCGAGAAGCTTGCTTTAGTTCATAAATGGATCTCAGTAGCTTGCAAATTTTATTATGATCAGGCAGAGATGTGAAACCTTCAGGTTGTGATATGTACACATCCTCTTCTAGCTCACCATTAAGGAAAGTTGTTTTCACATCCATTTGCCATATTTCATAATCATAGTATGCTGCTATAGCAAGAAAAATCCGAATTGATTTGAGAATTGCCACGGGATAGAAAGTCTCGTCATAGTCAACTCCTTCTTTCTGACGATATCCCTAGGCAACAAGACGGGCTTTGTAGGTTTCCTCCTTTCCGTTTGCTCCAAAATTTTTCTTTAAAATCCATTTACAACCTATAGGTTTTATATCCTTTGAAGGTACAATTAAAGTCCATACTTTATTTTCCTTCATGGATTCCATTTCGGATTCCATGGCCTTTTTCCATATCTCATAGTCAGAACTTTGTATAGCCTCTTCATAGGTATTAGGGTCATCATCATTATGATCAACCTCACTTGATACATCATCTTGTACCATTATATTTAATCTAGTTGGTACATGACATTCTCGTGTAGACCTTTTAAGAGGTGCTTGTACAACTTGTTCACCTTGTGCTGGATTTGGTTGTTGTTCAATTTGGTTTGGAACTGGTTCATTAACCTGTTCTTGAACTACATTTAGTTCTTGAACTTCAATCATTGAAGATGGAAACTTCCTTGTCAACTTCAAAACATCAAATAAAGGTTCTTCAACTTGTGTCTCATGATCTTGATTTTGTGTTGATTCATTAGTTTCTTGAACTTCATCAAGTTCTATTTCTCCACTATAATTTTCTTCCAAAAGAAATTCCCTTTCCAAAAAGGTTGCTCCTCTAGCCATAAACACTTTATGGTCAGAAGGGTGCTAGAAATAATATCCCACTGTTTTTTTGGGATACTCAATGAACCTACACTTATCATATCTTGAGTCAAGTTTATTAGACTGCAGTCTCTTATCATAAGCTAGACAACCCCAAACTTTAATATGCTTAAGGTTAGTCTTACGTCCTTTCCATATCTCATGTGGTGTTGTAGAGACTGACTTAGTGGGAACTTTATTAAGTAAGTATGTTACTGCTTCCAAAGTATATCCCCATAAATTTATTGGAAAATCAGTGAACTCCATCATATATCTCACCATATATAATAAGGTTCAATTTCTCCTTTCAGACACACCATTGTGTTGTGGTGTTCCTGGAGGTGTCCACTATGAGAGAATCCCATTCTCTTTGAGATACCTAGTAAAATATTCACTAAGATATTCTCTACCTCTATCAGACCTTAGTATTTTAATACTTTTACCAGTCTATTTCTCAACTTTACTACGGAACCTTTTGAAC